CGGAAAATTTCTGGGCGGTAACGAAAGCGAAAGTAGATCTTGATTCTTCCCGATCGAGCCTCGGTGTCACACATACACTTCCGCCACAGTGGTTCAATTACGTTTCCTCTTCAGGATTCATCAACCATACAGTCTAGATAGCTACACATTACACAGGCCCTATCCTTTCCCGACTTACAGACCCATCACAAAATTCCAGACTTTTTCCCGACCTCCTGACCCATCTAAAAATTCCAGACTTTTTCCCATTTCCCGACCTGGTGGGGACCCTGTAAATCTAGATCTAGATCTAGTGTCATTGGAATGGCATTGGCATTGATTCCATGCAATTTTTGTTGGTCTACTTGCGATTATATATATTGATACTATAATATACTGAAGTATTATTTACCAAGCATAAACATAGAAATGCTGAGCGGGGGCCACAAGAGGTGCGTGCAACACTTCCAATCAAAACATATACAAACCTCATGTTCGGTTGTTGGGAATCCAGTGGTGGTGTGGTTGGGAGATTGGGAGTGTAGATTCGTCGTTACCAGGGTCAAATTCTTCATCTTCCAGCACCCATTCTTCGTCAGAACTATCGTCTGACACATCTAGCAACGCATCAATCTCATGTTGAGTCAGTTTTGCCATTCTGACGTTTAAAAATTAAAAATGATGAAAAATGAAGAGCAATGTGCAGGAGCTATCGACCCGGAATTCCAAGATGGCGGAATTGCGTAAACAAACATATCGAAGCGAATGACTACAAGAAAAAATCGCCGTTTGTGACAAATTCCGGCTTAATCTGCGTTAATTTTATTTTATGCTTTTTAGACACATTTTAAAATAAATTTTCAAATGAAAGTGGTTAAATATTTGATTTCATTTATTTTCATTTTTATGTAGGCACCGCACAAAATGGGGGCGTGTCCGTCAATCATCGGTGATCGAAATCCCTTGTTTGGAATCTTTGAGAGATTACATTGGTTTATAAATTAGCCCAGGCCACCTCTATTCTCACCCCGGGTGAGAATAGCGCAGGCGAGCATTTTGGCTATTCTCACCCGGTGTGCCTTCACCGTGATAGGCCAACCAGTGTAGCATTCACCGTGAACAAACGGTCCAGCACTTTTGAGTTGAAAGCGAGCAATTTTGTGTGTGGGCAGTGAGAGAGAAAGAGAGAGAGGTGGGGAGAGGGGGGGGGGGAGAGAGGAGTAGCACGAGAACTTCTGAGCAAAACAAAATGGCGACCCTTGTAGTTCGGCTCGATTAGAAAAGTTAAATAGCCGTAGCATCTTTGTAGACGACCAAATTAATTTACCTTTGTGTTTTAACATCATTTTTTACCTTTTTTTTTGGTCAATCAGACCGTCCACATCGATAGACAGTTTTCAGAAAGAGAGTGCGAGAGAGAGAGAGGAGTAGATCTTGCGAGAACTTCCGGGCAAAACAAAAAAGCGATCCGCGTATTTCTGCTCGATTCGAAAAGTGAAATAGCCATAGCATCTTTGTAGACGACCAAACAAATTAGCTTACTTTTGTGCTATAACATAATTTTTTTCTTTGTTTTTGTCTATCTGATCATCCACACCGATAGACAGCATTCCGAAATAAGGAAAAACAGGTCTTGTTTCACATCGGGTGAGAATAGCTAACGCTGGCAAGTCTCACCCGGGGTAAGAGGTCGATCGTATTTTTATGGAAGAAGCTAGCCATACTGAAGTACGGCTAGCTTCCCTTAAATTCTTAATATGATGGCTAGACTGACCATAAAAAAAAATAGGCCTACTGAATTGTTGTTAATATACATTTTTAGTTTGCAGTACCTAAAGTATTTGTATTTGAGACGAAACCAGGTGCCTTAATGACAGTGCATTTTAAAAAAATCTCCTGTTTTGTAATGTTAATAGGGCCTAACGGCTAGACTTCTTGGATAGCCGTACTTAAGTATGGGTAGACAGCCAGGCTAGCCGTACTTAAGGACTGCTAGACTGTCAGGCTAGCCGTACTTAATATTGATGGCTGAATTGTAAATGAAATTTTTAGTTTGCAATGCCTAAAGTATTTGTATTTCAGACAAAACCAAAAGGTGCTTTACTGACTTGCATGTATTTGAACCTGAATAATTAATACTAGATCTAGATCTAATGAGACCTGTGTACTTTTACAGGTTTGAGTCGATAGGGCCAAACCTAGATCTAAGTACAGCTAGACTGGCAGTCTAGCCGTACTTAAGTACGGCTAGCCACTTCGTATTTTTATTCTCACCCCGGGTGAGGATAGCCACTTATAATAGCCTAACAAGATATCCAATCAAGACTGGCTTACACTTACTTTAAAAAGGGAACAAAGTCACAAAGTATACAGACCCCGTAGGGAAACTTTTTTGTGATTTCGGAAAGTTTCAGCGCCCTGCTCTTGGCTCAGGTTAGTTCTAACCTCCTTGGGCTTGGGGTAAACCTTAGTTTTTCTAGACTAGATCTATGGCCTAGGTCTTGATCTAGACAGACAGTTGAAACAGACAAATTATAAACGAAGTGTATACAGACCCGGTAACCGGGAACAAAGTCACGAAGTATACAGACCCGGTAGAGGAACTCTTTTGTGATTTCGGGAAGTTTCAGCCCCCAGACCCGGTAGAAATCGTGTGTGTGTGTGTGTGTGTGTGTGTGTGTGTGTGTGTGTGTGTGTGTGTGTGTGTGTGTGTGTGTGTGTGTGTGTGTGAGAGAGAGAGAGAGAGAGAGAGAGAGAGAGAGAGAGAGAGAGAGAGAGAGAGAGAGGAGAGGGGGTGCTAGCAAAATGTATCATGCCCCAGTTGGCAGGAGGGAACGAGAGAAAGATAGAGTGGGAAATAGGTGGGGACAAAGAAAGACAGAGAAAAAACAAAGAAAAAGAGAAGGCGAGCGATACACAGAGGAGAGAGAAAGAGAGAGAGAGAGAGAGAGAGAGAGAGAGAGAGAGAGAGAGAGAGAGAGAGAGAGAGAGAGAGAGAGAGAGAGAGAGAGAGAGGGGGGGGGGCTGCTCGATTGAAATTATGACATTAACTTGTTCTTTTCTTCAAATTGTGATTCCTCCAACTCCAAAACGGAGGAAAAACGATCGTTCATCGAAAAGACATCCGCACTCTTCATTTAGATCTCGGCTAGCCGCGAAACTAGATCAAAGATTTAAGTTTGTCTGCCTAGATCTAGATCTAGATCATAGATCTAGAAGAACCTAGGTCTACCCTGAGCCAAGAGGGCGTTCGAAACTCTCCGAAATCACAAAAGAGTTCCCTTACCGGGTCTGTATACTTTGTGACTTTGTTCCCGGTTACCGGGACTGTATACACTCCCAATTATAAATCATTGATCTAGTTTTGAGGCTTGCCTAAGATCTAGAATCTAGATCTAGACGTCTAGATCAAAATGAAAATTGCGGATGTCTTTTCGATGAACAATCGTTTTTCCTCCGTTTTGGAGTTGGGGGAATCAGAATTTGAAGAACAGAACAATGTCATAATTTCCATCGAGCAGTCACCCTCTCTATTTAATTTCTCTCTCTCTCTCTTTCCTCTGTCTCTCAGTATCGCTCGCATTCTCTTTCTCTTTGTTTGTCTTTGTCTTTCTTTCTCCCCACCTATTTCCCACTCTATCTTTCTCTTGTTCCCTCCTGCCAACTGGGGCATGTCATATACTTTTTTCCGGTATTTTTTTACTTTCCCTCCCGTCTCACACTCAGCTACCAATTGTCTATTTTCTACTAAATATTGATGCGCTGAACACGAATATCAACTTCATTTCCGTCGCAAATTAATAGTTTTTGAAATATTTGATTGTTTTTAACTGAGATAGACATGCTTTGGACCAATTGGGGGGGGGTTCCAGGGGGGCCTGCCCCACTGGGGTAAAAGAAAATCTGGGGGGTTACAGGGGGGCATGCCCCCCTGTTTTTACACCCATAATTTGATATTTTACAGTTAGATTTGAAATTGTCTTGAAAATAATTGATTTGCGACAGTTTTAGTGGCTTTATGTGTGATCTACAGCAAACAGTACAGCAGTTTGACCCCTGAAACAGTGCATCTGTGTGCGGGAGTGAAAGTAAAAATTTACCAAACCCTACCGGGTCTGTATACTTGAACATGACTTTGTTCCCGGTTACCGGGTCTGCACACAAGCTCGTACTTTTAAATCTTAAAAGAGTTCGAACAACACTGTTTTTAGTAGTTTAGGCGGCCGGCCGACTTGTCCGGATGGCCGAGATGCCCAGACAGTACTGTAGTGTCTGTAGACTACACTCTAGATCTAGATCTAGATCTAATCTAGAATACACAGCTATATCCTTTCAAGCTCCTCATGTCTAAGTCTAAGTGGGTCAATTTCTTCTATTTCATTGGACGAACATCTAGAGCTACCAACTTGGCATGTTTTGAATGAGACGTGTATGCCTCGATTACGAACCAACGCAGGCGGTTCTAGAAGAAGGCCACAAACGCACACAAACTCAAGCAGACTGACGCACACACGCTTGACCTGCGGGAATAGGGATCTGACTCGGGACCCGAATGACACGTAAGAGGATGCGTGCTGCACGTGCACTGAGCCAGGAGCTACACTCATTCGGGACCAAAACGCAGGCGAGGTGCCAAAATAGGCTTATCGGGCTACATAAACCCGATCCCGCAGGATGAGGGTTAATCATTTAACTTTTATTTGAACTCTCAGTACTCTGTAGACTGTAGATCTAATCTAGATCTATATCTAGATCTATATCTATATCTAGATCTAGTCTTGATCTAGATCTAGATATCTAGATTTAAATCTAGATATAGATCTAGATATAGATATCTAGATCTAGACTATATATATCTAGATCTAGATCTAGATCTAGATCTAGATCCTAGATCTCGATCTAGAATCTCGATCTAGAATCTAATCTAGATCTAGATCTAGATCTAGATCTAGATCTAGATCTAGATCTAGAGATCTAGAGAATCTAGATAGAATGTCAGTGACAACAAATACGAGACTTACTAGAAACGCTAGGCTAGACCTTACTGAGAACTTGCTTTCCTTGTTTGTCAGCTCAAATCGACTCAGACAATTGCGGCTTGCCGCTGTGCTCAATGAAAGTCCAAGCTCTTAGTCTTAGCCTGTACTGCCTAGTCACTAGCGAAGAGAAGATAAAAGGCCAACTGTACTCTCTCTCATAGGCCCACAGAATTCTATTCTGTGCATAGGCCACAGAATTCTCTAAAAATCATCTGAATGGCTGAAAGGACTTCTTTTGTGCCAAAAAGTAAAAAGTAGTGATGGGCAGGTATCGATACCAGGTACTTGATACTTAGATACCTACAGGTATCGGCAATGATAGTACATAACAAGATGGGCCACTTCTCTCTTTGAGCCAATTAAAAAAGTGTCCTCAAAATTTGGTAACGCCCTCTTCACAAAAGCGCAATCTTTGCGAACAGAGTTACCCTACTTGAGTTTTAAAAAATCAAAGTGAAACTAGCAAGTTTTGGGATAAATTTCGGAAGAACGCTTTTTTAAAATGGTTACGCTGACAAAAAAACCTCTTACGGAGGAAAGGGTGATGGTTTTCTTCGTTTAATTTGACTTTAGAATGAAAGGCGAGAGGTCATTAAAATTTTTAAAAACCTAAAACTCCGCACTGAACGTACCCGAACTGCTGATGAACAGTAGTCGATCTGCGCACGCAAGGAGGTGCTATTCCTGTTCTTTTTCTGGAAAAACGAAAGAGAGCTTCAAAACAGACTGCAGCGCCATCTGAAGCAAAGAGCATACTTCCTGCGGACACTTTTTTGGCTGAGTGGCCCATCTTGTTATTCACTATCTTTGGTATCGGTATTGGTACCGATACCTGCTCTTAACATCGATACCTATGTGTTATTTATCCCAGGGCTGCCAAAGCAAGACTTGGAAAAAAATAGTTGTATTTTTATCTTTACTTATTACCCCCGGCGTATGTTACCAATAGCATTGGGTATCGAGGTATCGGTATCGATACCTTGAAAAAGTACTAGGTATCGACATTGATACCTAAATTGTGGTATCGGCCCATCACTATTGGCCAGGCCACAGGGCTAGCTGCAGCCCGTCAGCCAGAAGTTGATTGGCTGTGGCAGGCTAGTGGTGAATATTGTGTTGGGCCTGTGATTCCAGTTTTAGCAGTTCGGAAACTTCTGAAACAGTGCTGTTTATAGAGCTTAATCTACCTATTAGCAGAGACACTAAATTATAATTAAATATGGGCCGATACCACAATTTAGGTATCGATGTCGATATCTAGTACTTTTTCAAGGTATCGATATCGATACCTCGACAAAGATAGTACAAGACAAGATGGGTCACTTCTCTCTTAGAGCCAATTAAAAAAGTGTCCGCAAAATTCGGTGGCGCCCTCTTCGCAAAAGCGCACCTTTAGCGAACAGAGTTATCCTACTTGAGTTTTTAAAAATCAAAGTGAAACTAGCAAGTTTTTGAATGAATTTCGGAAGAACGCTTTTTTTTAATGGTTACGCTGACAAAAAACCTCTTCCGGAGGAAAGGGTGATTGTTTTCTTCGTTTAATTTGACTTTAGAATGAAAGGCAAGAGGTCATTAACATTTTAAAAAACAAAAACTCCGTACTGAACGAACCCGAACTGCTGATGAACAGCAGTCGATCTGCGCACGCAAGGAGGTGCTATTCCTATTCTTCTTCTGGAAAAACGAAAGAGAGCTTCAAAACAGACTGCAGCGCCATCTGAAGCAAAGAGCATACTTCCTGCGGACACTTTTTTGGCTGAGTGGCCTATCTTGTTATTTACTATCATTGACCTCGATACCCAATGCTATTGGTAACATACGCCGGGGGTAATAAGTAAAGATAAAAATACAACTATTTTTTTCCAAGTATTTAGGCAATCGTGTCTAGACAAGTTGTGACTATTTAGCTGAGACTCAAACAAAAATTATTTGTAAAAGAGAGAGAGAGAGAGAGAGAGAGAGAGAGAGAGAGAGAGAGAGAGAGAGAAATATACCCAAATATGAGAATAAAAACAAAAATTAAGTGAAGTATGGGATGAAAGTCAACTTTGCAGAAAATGTTAGTATTGGAAAATAAAAACACAAGAGTTCTAAAAAGGCAATTCAATTTACCAGATTTTTAGCAACTTTAAATTAAACCAATGAGGATAAATCAGGGTTGTCAGTGAAGATTTTGCAAAATCACTAGATACATTTCATGAAAAACTTCTCTCTTTTTGTAAAAAAAACAGTAGATTAATTTAAAACGCTTGACCCCTACGAAAACTTATCAGTTTTGATAAACAAAAAATTCTCAAGGCCCAAGTCACTTGCTTTGGCAGCCCTGGGATAAATAACACATATGTATCGATGTTTAGAGCAGGTATCGGTACCGATACCTATAGGTATCTAAGTATCGAGTACCTGGTATCGATACCTGCCCATCACTACTACCTATATCAGGAAGGAATTGTGGTGGTCGAATGGACAGTAGGCCTGGGCATTATTCGCTTTTCAAAAAACCGAATAACTAGGTACCTGTTTCTATAAAAATCCGAATAA